TTATTCAAATTATACAGCAGTGGTTCCAATCCAGGGGTTGGGACCCTCCAAGGGATCGCAAGAGGGATGTAAGGGCTCACAAGAATAAATTATTCACACAAAATTATGCTTAGACCTTTTTGTAATCACTTTTTGTATTTCTCATTCAAAACTGGGTAGTTTCATTTCTCTAAGACTAATTATACAAATCAGAACAATCTGAGAGGCAAAAATCACTCTTTGGTTTAACTCCTAACAACTCATACACATATGCAACTTATGGTCACCTTAATATACCTACAGGGACCTATAGGGTTGTTTTGCAGTGACTTTATGGTAGTTTATATTTTATTAAGTATCACTATAAGCTTCCCCGAACAATTCCTTAGTAATCTGTAGATGTGTAAAAGTTAAAACTCAGTTGAAAGTTTGGGGAAAATATTGAACTGATAAAGTGACTTTATCATAAATCTATTTTTATGATTTATTGTGTCATTAAACTATTACATTTTGTGTTATATTAACTTTTAAATGTATCTGATGTGCTCAATGTTCACTTTATTTTACTTGTTATAGTATTCGGTGTCACTTCAATCATTTAAAATGATAATGTTAATATTGAATTTATACTAACTTAGCTTTATCCTCTATCACTGGTGGCGGTGGCTTATGGATACTTTATCTTACTTAACAACATCAGTTATCAGTAATGGTTATTAACATTCCTGTGTTTTCATTAAACAGTATAATGCATTGTGAGTATTCTTATGTTACTCAAGGGTGTTGTGTATGTTATTTTTATCTCCATCAAATGGAGCCACTATAATAATCCTTCAGGGACTTTGTAGATCTTTTCCAGTGAACTTATTGTGTATTAATAGCATATTGCCATCATAAAGTATTACATTATGATTTCTGGTGGACTGCAGGGTGTTTAATTCAGCTGATGTCTGTATAATATCCCTCTAAACTGTAGAGTATTATAGGATGTCTGCAGCTCTCTCTGTCTGTGAGTGTAATGTTTAATCAGAGGGAGTGTAGCACTGAGATTCCTCAGTGTCACATGGCAGTAACCTGATCTCCACTCAGCCCTTTTGTCCTCTGCCAAAAACAGGGATCAGAATCAGTTTTGCCTTTGAACAAGCTTTCTTTCTTTTGCTTTAATGCTGCTGCTGTCTGCACCTGCCAAATTTATAACAAGGGCCCAGTGACGCAGTGGAAGATTTAAAAATGTAGGTAAACTTCAGCCTCCAGTCTGTGATCCTGACAAGTTAGAAACACCCCCACAAAAAAAACATAGAAGTAATTATTTCGACACTTCATGCTGATAATTGAGCTCAGACATTCTTTATTCCCACAATGAGGTCAAATTTAACAAGGAGGGCAAACTGAGGTAAGGTGGGTTCACCCTCATATATCCACAGAGACATTTTTACACTGATAATAAAAAGATAAATAACATCAATGAGGTTATTCATTGATGCAGGGCCTCATCAACCTGATGGAAGATACTTCCTCTGTACTGTTTTCTTTTTTGTGTGTGTGTCTTTTTAATTAGTGTGATTGAAAGTTCTTTTTGGGATTGTGTGTTTCTCAGATGCTGGGTAATAGTGGGGGAGATTGTGTAAAAAGGGCAGGGGGGTATTGGTGAATAGAGTGAAAGATGGGGGAAGGGGGAAGGAAGACAAAAGTCCCACTAATATAACTGTCATAGTGCCAAAATTGTTTAGGAAAGGAAAAACTCATTTGTAAAGATGAGCATATATGTATATGTATTAGTAATATTATATATATATACACCAATCAGCCATAACATTATGACCACTGCCATTATGACCGGTGCACTGAATAAAACTTATTATCTGGTTGTCATGGCAGCTGTCAGTGGGTGGGATATATTAGGCAGCAAGTGAATATTTTGTCCTCAAGTTGATGTGTTAGAAGCAGGAAAAATGGGCAGTGTGAGGATTTGAATGACTTTGACAAGGGCTAAATTGTGACGGCTACGACTTGGTCAGAGCATCTCCAAACCTGCAGCTCTTGTAGGGTGTTCTCGGTCTGCAGTGGTCAGTATTTATCAAAAGTGGTCCAAGGAAGTAAAAGCAGTGAACCAGAGACAGGGTAGTGGGTGGCCAAAGCTCATTGATGCACGTGGGGAGTGAAGGCTGGCCCGTGTGGTCCGATCCAACAGACAAGCTACTGTACCTCAAACTGCTGAAAAAGTTAATGGTGGTTCTGATGGAAAGGTGTCAGAACACACAGTGCAGAGCAGTTTGTTGGTATGGGGCTGCAGAACATTATGACCACCAGGGTGCCCAAGATAACATTTTTAAGTGTCTACTTTTGTCTGGCCAACAGTATTCAATGTACAATTGTGTAAAATATAGATAAGCTGAAGCAAACATTTAATCAATTATAAAAATGTTTGCCTAATATATCCTTTGTACAAATTTTCAATCGATTAATCAGCTAATCAGCTCTGCAATCATTTTTGTCCATCCCCCCAGAATGGAAAACATCCATTAAAAAAAAATTGGCAACAAAGGGTCAAAGGTCAAACACCACTTTTGATAATAATATGGAATTATATGTAATATTTATCTATTATGTTTTAAAATATGAGAAATATAATTGTAATATTGCAGTTTTCTTTCAATGGTGTGAAATGAAGTGATTCCCTATTGCTGCAAACACTCAAACCCTCTCAAGAGCCCTTGGAGCTCCCAAGGACTGACCGTTTGGAAACAACAATGAGTCAATTTTATTTATATAGTCAAAAATCGCAAATTACCTCAAAGGGCTTTACAATAATGTAGGTACAACCTTTATCTTTAGACTCTCTATTTGAATGAGGAAAAAGGATGGAACCTCAAGAAGAGCAACATGTGCACAATGTCTCCTCTGTACAGAATAGATCTAAATAACAGTAGTAAAATGTTTGAAGAACATATATAAAGAACAGAAGGATACAGGCCTATAAGAGTTAAAATAGCAACACAACAACTTTTATAAAGCTCCTGCTTGTTAACAGGAGTCTCATTGACGTCAGTTTCATCATTTTTACTATTTCCACAATTTTCACTGCCTCTTTCTATAGTCTCTTTTCTCTTCTCTCCACTGCCAAATCCTATTACATTAGCTGCTGCAATAGCCAGATTTCCCCAGAGGGACCAATAACAGTTCCAACTTATCTCAATCTTACACTGAATACCAACCTGCACAGCATCAGAGGATGGATGTGTAATTGGCTGCACTAATTCAACACACACAGTTTGAAAAGACATCTAGAGTCTCGCTGTGGTTTGGGACATCAAATATTCTGTGTTACCTTCCCTAAAACACACTGTATGTTGTGTAGCAGCTCATACAGAACATCTGAAGTTGTGTGGAACTGCTTTAAGGGCAGAAATAATGCTTTTGGGGGGTTTTGTAATAGTAAATAAGGGTAAAAGAAAATATGGGGAGACAAAATTACTAAGTTAATATTAGGTTAGTTATAAAAAAATAGGTTTCAATTAAAGCTTCAATTCACTGGTTTAACTTTGGGCTTCTAATCATAAACAGGAATTAATAAAGACACCATTCAATAAAAAAATAGCTGGAGGAGCTTAAACTCAAGGACTAAAATTAATGAATGTTGACTAAGAGAGCCGGGGGAGACCGATGAACTTATAGACTGATGAACTGATGAGAACTTTTCAAGGCCATTCAGTCACTTTCAGCAGCTTTTAAGGCCTCCAAGAAGCCTTCAATAATTTTCAAATTGCCAGCAGGAGCAACCACTGTGCACACATACACGGCAATGAAGGTCACAAGATAAATTATGTAAGAGTGCATCAAGTGTTGGTGGCTCCATATGCCATTACATAAGATCATCCTTTATTGACCCCCAGAGGGGAAATTGTGAATTATTGAACTAAATATTATAAGAGAAAATCAAACTTCATGTTTGGTGACAATGTTTATTGTTCGGATTAGGTTAAGTGCAACAGGTTGCATGAAGCCCTAAATTAATTTCTTCAGGGGGTCAGCAGCACAGGCTATTTCAATACTGCCTCCTGGTGTTCAGCTGGCAGTACTACACTTGAGCTTTACCTATTGCTGCAAGCAGGCGGGAAGGGACTTAAATTATCTCGACACATTGCAGTCATTCTTAAACTATAGTAATTAAATCTGCTGCTACAACAGCCTCCACTCTTCTGGTTTCACCAGATGTTGAACCCGGCTGCAGGGATTTGCTCCCATTCTGACAGTAATGTTGGCTGATAAGACTCTGTCCAGTTCTGTGTTCCAGTTCATCCCAAAGGGGTTGGACAGGGTTGAGGGCAGGGATCTGTGCAGACCAGTCAGGTTCTTCCACATCAAACTAGTCTCCATTTTTGGACATCTAATGTGAGTTAATAGAGATATCCGTATCCCTACATGATGACATGAATTCATCCAAGATAGGGACTTAACGATTTTAAACTAACAAATCACTTCTTTGTCTTTATCACTCAATGTTTTCACTACGGCTGTACTTTAACATATTTAAGGACATTTGGAACATTAAATCTGGAGAATCATATTTAATCATAGTATTCACATATTACAACATATTCGCAGGTTTTCACAAGTGAAATTGAACTCTAGTCAGAATTTGGATATATCTGACCTAACATGATGTACTTGAACTATAAATGGAAATATTTAAAAAATAGGAAATTAATTCTTAGAAGCCATGAGGTCTGTGTGGTGAACTGTTTAGTAGATACAAACATGGCATACTGTTCTACAACCTGTCTCTAGATGAGAGTAAACAGCTGCATTTTAAATACTTTTAGAAGTATTCATTCAGATAACACACAATAAAACCCCTTTATGACCTCGACTGCAGATGTCTGTAAGCAATAAAAGTATCATCTGATTTATGGGCTGTAGTGGGTGATTATTAATAAAAGTCGCTCTCCTGGTCACCTTGTATATTTTGTCCTCCTTTAATTCTCTTGGGATTTTTAAACAATAGGTACCAGTACAGGAAGCAAACTCAAAACAAATACTTTATTCAATACAGTGAATATATACATCGGAAACAGGTCATTCCTCCTCCTCCTCATCCTCCTCCTTCTCTGCTGGTTTCCGTACAATGTCTTCGCTGTTGAACCACAGCGCTTCACTGGTGCGACTGGCGATGATTGCCCGCTCTATGAAAGGTCCTGAGGGGAGGAAGAGGAGGAGAGGAAAAGAAAAACTGTCAACAATAACAGTTTGTTTCAATGTGATGAAAGGGGGAGGTGTGAAGTCGAAAGCAGGAAGTGGAGAGGACATTTCTAAAACACAAATAACAATATGCAAGATGATTCTTCCAGTAAAATGGCAGACCGGATTAAGGATACATGCATCAGACTGAAATGAAAACATTTTTTTAAACTTAGGGTTGGGTGATATGGATTTAGCAAAGCCAAAAATATTACTTATAAATTTAGCTCTGACATTAGGTCATTATGAGTAATGATGAATCTATCATCATTTAAGATTTATTGTAGGGCTGCAACTAAAAATATTTTCACTATTTATTAATCGGACTATTCTTTTCTCAATGAACAGATTATTCATTCTGCCTATAAAATGTCAGAAAATAGCAAAATGTGCCTTTATAATCACCCAAGTGACTGCTTCAGATGTTTTGTTTCAGTCCAAAAGTCCGCAGATATTCAGTTTATTATGACACTGAAATCTGTGAATATTTGCTGGTGGAAAAGCCTCTGAAAGGAGTATTTGGAGCCACCAATGGACACTCATCATCTTTATCCCCCCACTTTCATCTGCTGAAGGGGGAAAGTTTCTCTGTGCTCACCTTCAATTTCAGTTTAACTCATGTATGGACCAGCAGGATTTGTGATATCACAACTAGTTTGGAGCCAATCATGGTCCAGAATCCAACTAACACAAGTATAATGTGGAAACTTGAAGCCTCCAATGAACATGCACTGAGACGAGGCTCTACAGCAGTGCTTCTCAAACTTTTTCTGGTTAGAAATAACACATTATTACTAGAACAAAATAATAATTAATAACTTTTTTTTGGAAAACCAATATCAGACACATTTTATATATCTCAAAACATATCTGGAGGGAATCTTTCAACATTTAAAATCAAAATATAAAAATGAGAGAATGCTTTTCCAGTTTTTCTGTAGCGGCCCTCAGAGATCAACCTGGGATGGAGCAGTTCTATAGAAGAATATGGTTTCCAGAGGTTGTTTAGGACATAAACAGCCAGATTCAATAGCAACTCTTCAACAAAACATAAAGAGCTTGAAAACTTTCAACACATGAGACTGAGCATCAGCTTGCATGAGATTATGTTAAACAGCTGCCTTCAATCTCTGTCACCCACTCATCCTCTGTTTCTCCTTTATTTGAAAACATGCACAAATTCCCTGCAGTCTTTTATTTCTCACAAATCTACTTTTAACTTACTTATGAATAGTTATTTCAGCATCATTTCCCCTGCTGTCTCATATTTCCTGCATTCAGGTCTTTATTTATCAGCATATGGATGTGCTTTTGTCATGAATAATTCCCATAAGGCCCTCAGGGTTTTCTTTCTCTCACCCACACGTTGATTTTCCACACTCTTTTCTTAGTTTTGAGCATTTATCTGTGAAGCTTCTTCTTGTTTCTACCCACACTGCAGCCATTAGCTTCTGTCCAAATGACAATTTAAAAGACATTAATGGAAATAGGGGGGGGGTTATTTCAAGTTAACTGTAATTATTCTAAATATTCACATTGTCTGATCCTTGACTTCTGGGTGCAGAGGTAATTCAATTCTGCCCAGAGTCCTTGTGCACCTCTTGTCAGGGGAGTCGAACTGCTGTGTAGTGTTTGCTGGCACAAACTTAAAGAGGGCTCTCTGCTGACAGAGTTCAGAAGAGCCCAGGTGGCTCGGCTCAATGCACCATCTTCATCGCCAAATGCTGCTCTGCGATGAAAATTACAGAGCTGAAAAGGGCACTGAGCGAGACGTTTCACTCAGCTACTGTAGCGCAGTGGATGCTCTCTGCAGCCGGGCGGGTGCGGCAGAGCATCAACACTTCCATGGTGAGCAGTGAAGAGTCCCACAGGGATCATCAAGGATAAAATGGCACAAACTCAAGTTTACTGTGAGCACTTTAAACTGAAGCATCTGCTGTGAGTGCACAGACCTGCTGCTGGTTCTCTTTGGTCTGACGCAGAGTGAAAAGTTTAACGACCTCACCAAGGATGTTTTGTAGGTCTTTTTGGTCCCATTTGATTTGTTTGTTCAATAATCAGCATGGCATCTCAAAAACTGAATTTTTTTAGTAACAGTTGGTGGGAGGTTAGGCCTTGAACCATGAGACAAGTGATTAGTATTAGGATTACTTAACATACTGATTTTTCAACATTTCTTCTCATTATATCTGGTGTCAGATCTGAATCCAGATTTAACATATTCTACTATTAAAGTGCTTTCTAGTGTAAGTTTCTGTGTTTTGGTTTATATTAAGTTTCTTAAAATCCAATAAAAAGTTCCCCAGGGCACATAGAAAAAACTAGCAAATGGCAAGCAGCTCTTTTACTGAGCAGAAGAGTGCATAAAGACAAGATTGCTATGGATTTGTCCACTATGTGTTGCTGTTGTTTATGGTGCATGACTTCACATTAAAAAGACCAACTATCCCTTTTTCCGCATCTTTGTGCTTCCTTAAGTACAGAGGAGATAATCATGAAAACCAGAGCTGATATTTTCCACAGAGGCCAGTAGGAGATAATGCACCACATACTGTGTACTTTCACACAGAAGGTTTAGGAGACGTTTGACTAAAATATGAACGTGTTTTCTGAATAACGATGACCATGTGGTCCACAACTGCACTCGAGTACTTACAAGGAAAATTTAAGCGTGCATGTTATGGCAGTATTTGTGACTCTCATACATTTTTGTCCTATGACAATAACTGTTAAACTGAACATCTCATGACCCCGTTCAGCCATGAGCATGTGGTTTCATTCACTCATATATAGGTCTACACAATTAGGGGGCATACATTAAAATGGCCATCGATTTTATTTCCTGGAAACAACGATAAAGAGTCACACTTTATTGACAAAAGGAGTATGCATGTGGACCGCAAAACAAAATAACAGTAACCACATCTGAAAACACACGAGCAATAGTGGCAATATTGTCCTCAAGAGAGAGATCCAAGATAGATGGGAAAGTAAAGAGTTCTTGACATGAGGAGTTCCAGGTCACAAAGGGCCAGCGGTTTTAAAGTGTCCTCAATCAGCGTTTCTGAAAGCTCTGCAGTTTACTTCAGTCTGGGCACCGTTAATGACATTTTATTTAGCGAGCTCAGAATCAATTATATTGCAGATCATTTAAAGCCTCTCCAGCTAATGACGGTCCATTAGCTGATGATTACACTCTGCCTCTTATAATCAAACGTAAAGTGAAGCAAATGTACAGAATATTGGAAATGCTGAATTTCTTACGTCTACTGTTCAGTTCAGTGAGGAACGCCAACCTCAGCAGGGCAGTCAATGTTCACTTTCATACAGTGTTTAGTTGTTTTGTTTTTCAAGTTTTAGTTTCACATTTTCCTCGACAATTAATGAATATTTCACATTTGTCAACAGCTTCAGATTTTTTTTATATTTTTCTTCTACCACTGCAGGCAGCCATTAGTTTCCATTGATTCCTGTACATTATGAAAATCATAATACAAGTTATTGCTCACAGTGAGCATGAAGCTTGTGTTAAGTTTGCCAGTGCTACACTGGTGTAGTGTGGTAGCACAGTGTAAATGCAGATTGATTTGAAACATGAATGTAGACGTTATTGTTCACTGTGATGAATTACAATTTGTTTTTATGCCTGGGACAGTCTTCAAAGTAAATCCAAAAGAGATTTTTAGTAACTACGATAAAACATTTTCCTTTAAATTCATCCATCTGCATGTTATAAAAAAAACACACTGCAAAGAAAGGTCCTGGTTTGAAGTAACATCTTATCGCTTATTTTCAGCCGAATTTGGATGAAAGCATGAGTTGTTTTCAATAAAACACTTCAGTCTGAGAGAAGAACAGTACACAGTAAGCATGGGGGAAAAAAACAAAGAAACCCTGGTTGTCTTGTTGCCGACTTTCTCCCTGTTGTCTCCATCAGTCTGGCTATAAAAGTGTAAACTGAACAAGGGAGGGAAATCAAAACCAGCCAGCAGATAAAAGCTGGCACATTTTGAAAGCTTTTTTACTCTAACATGCATTTTGACAAACAAAAATCAATCAACAATGTGTTATTCTATCCTGAAGAGCTGTCAAAACAATTAGAGAAAGAGTTCATCTGCAGCAGCTGACAGAGGAAAAGCAGCTCTGAAGTTATTTTATGTCAGTGGTTGAACTTTTGTTGTAGTGATGGGTTGGTTTTGGTGAACTTACCCATATCGGCTGGTCGGTGTGAGCAAACGTTCATCAGGACAGCTTTCAGGTTGGCAAAGATGTGTTCTGTGGGCATGTCGAGCTGTGCAGAGAGAGGAGAGAAAGCATTATGAAATAAATTTTGCGAAATTCTGCTGAAATGTGTATTTGTCTCACATCTAATCTGCTGCTTGGGAGGTTGTATTTTAAACGTGGGAACTCAACTATAGTATATGCTCAGTGTTCATCTGGTAATCGTCATGGGAGCTTGAACGCTTGACTTACAATAAAAATTAACAGGGCCATCTTCCTTTTCAAGAAAGGTGAATGATTTAGTGTTTTGGTAGAAGCCCATATTCACCACAACATTTCCCACAGTCTGCCTCAGGTTGCACAGATTTCATGTTGCAGTTTCCTGTTAGGAAGACAATCTTTATTTCTTAACTTTGACCACTTACAGAATATAAAATGAAAAAAACTGCCTCTTGCCTGGACACTGAAAGTTTCCTCCTAGTTGGTGTTGTTGACAGAAATCTACACCGTCATATATCTTTACTATACAGCAATAACACTTTCTTGAGACGTACCATGGCTATCTGGGTCTTGACGTAGCAGTTGTTCTCCACATTGTACTCGTGGCTTGCTTTAAAAAACTCCAACAACTCGGAAATGTTGGTGCTGACTGAGCCTGAGTGTCAACAGAGAGAGACAGAGAAATGAATTTATCGGAATTGATGTAGTCATGACTATATGTGCACTTTAGACATTAGTTGTCGGTGTTATCTTGAAAGGCTTCAAGTGCTACTGCAGTAAAACCATGAGCTGCTAAATGAGCAGTAGTGAGAGTGAAGAATATCAATGAAGCTACAGCAACGCTATGGTACAATAGAAAAAAATAACCTCGTTATCACAGACTGATATAAAAACAGCTTTTACGTTTGTGAATAAAAGCAGGTTTCAAAGAGGTCAAATCTTTTGTGCTTGTAAAAGGTCTGAAAAGTGACAAAACAAAGTCTACGGCAAAGAGAATTACTGTCTCCCACAGAAAACACTGCTCCTGCATTACCTGAAACCACTTGTTTGTATGCAGCCTTTTCTTCTGTTTCATACAACTCACCTCTCTTGCTCTTTGGAAATTTCTTCCTCAGTTTGTTTTTCAGAGGTAGAATCTTTGGCAGAATATCTGGCACTGCTACATAGAAGTCTGCTGAAATCTCGTCATCTAAGATCTGGAAGTGAATCAAATTTAGATTAGTTTTAAGTTTAAAGAGTCCTGCAGGGAGTCTAAGTAACATTTTGATAGAAATACAGACAGACCTGCATGCAAAGAACAGAGCAAATAGTTATTGACAGATTCACAGGTTAATACTGGTGTGTGTCACATTGTCAGACGTTTGATTTCAGATGAGCAGTCAGAAAGCAAATGAACATGTCATCTATTTTAGATGCCAACACTCCATCACTTATGACAATAGAGATTGTCAGACCCAATACAAACTAATGTGTGTAGCCGCCTTTGTAAATGTGATTTACAGTAGACACTGCATGGAATGCAGGTGTACAATTAGCTCAAACACAACACTGACTGGAAATGTACTTAATGAAACAAACTACAGCTTTGCCAAATTAGTTTATTGCAGTTATGTTTCTATTATTTTGTCCACCGGCTGTATAACACATAGCCATCCTAGTCTATTTCTAGGATTTGAAATTTCCAAGAAGATAAAAGAAAAAAGCTAAGTGCTCTCATACTACATATTATATAACAGAGTCCCATCATCCAAAAGTAACAGACACAAAAACACTTTATTCTTGTTGATTCTGGCAGCCTCTGTGGGCAAAAGTGGGAGTGATGCCTTACACTGTGTCTATATCGACCATGTAGCAAAAGCGGCACACCAGCAGAACAACTGCAGCAGCTGGAATCTTGTGTCAGTGTCAAAAATGGTTTCAGCCACAGTCTGGTGTAGACAAGGTTGGACGAAGGCATTACAGCCTTAAATGCCCTTGTCAGTGTGGTAGTTTCACTGCACAGCTCGGAGGTTTGAGTTTGTTTAACTGTGCGATTTGAACCAAACATCAACTCTCTGCATGCCTTAAAAATGCCTTATTTTGTTCGTTTTTTAAACTTTGCTTGGACTTGCTAATATATAACAATCATACTGTTACAAAAAAATCCAGAGAAAGATGAGTTTTCCCTTGAGGAAAAAAAATAAACTTGATCTGAACTTACAGTGCGTTATATTTAACCAACTCACCGGCTGTATGAGCTCTGCTCCTCCAGCTAATACAGCTCCATTCTCCAGTGCAGCTTTAGCTTGATTAGCATCCTGCAATGAGAAACAGAGGTAACACTACACATTTCAATCTGATCTGGGTGTGTCAACGTGTGGCAGACCCCGCCAGTGTCATCCATTATGGTCGTTAACGTACAAATCTAGGTTACAACCCACAACCTATGCTGCTCGACAGGAATATTAATCAAATCCAGCTCGTTGGTTTCTGTGACCAAAACAGTCGCTACATGAGCCCATTTATTACAGACAAACTGGGTGACAAAAGGTGCCGCTGCTGCTGCACATCTGAATCATGTACAGACAATATTAAAGCAATTCATCAACAGCACGCATTCAAGTGGCTATGAAATTAAGATTTAGTGAGCCTGAATAAAATGCCTGAAAAATAAAAATAAGCCTTTTACCTCAGTAAAAACTAAAACTTTGTTTATCTCGGTCTTGAAGGGGTGTGGTAAATGCACTGTGCTGACAAAGGGGTCCACTTTTCTCTGTGAGGAGAAAAAAAAAAGATCCAATTAATACAGATTTCAACACTCGGCATGCTCCAGCAAATAAAGGACTATGGAGAAAACATGAGAAAAAGAAGGGATGTCAATCATAGACCAAGCAAAGATAATTGAGTATTAAATCTTTCCCGCCACCACTTGAATTTTTCATTTCTCAGGAGTGTTCTTAATTAATTATGCATAAGAACATTGGTTCTGCATAGTTCCGTGGAGACGGACAGATGAGAGTAAGACTGTAAGCAGTAAGTAAGTCTGTCTCATGTGGACTTTCTGGACATCAAAGCAGCTCTGCAGTCCTGTGATGTGGAAACAAACTCATGAGGTTTTCAATCCTCTGTGTCACACGGTTTTTGCTGATTAACCAAAGACTGATGCAATAAATATCACTCAGCTTGGTGGAGGTGAGGTGTAGCAGTTAACAGTCAGAGTGGGAAAGTACCAAAAAAAGCCAAATCAGCCATATCTAAATGCTAAAATTAGTCTCTGACAGACACTTTGGCAGGTGATCAGCCATTGTCGGGATGTCCTGTTCTATTCTGAGGACCCAGCTAGATCGTTTTAAAAAAGCAGCTGGGACTAAAATCATTAAATATATTATTTAACTTTCCAGTCTTCCCCACAGATTCATGGACATGCTTAAAGACATAACCCATGGTCTCACAATTTGGATTTGAGAATGTTAGAATTACAGCCTGACCTGACAGGTGTTTCCATTACTTTGTCCACTCCATTTATATCAATGAGGGTAGGTTAAATAACATAAACACTTCACTGTACAATGCAATACAGTTCAACAGCACCACAAACAAAATCCAAAATGACCATGTCATGCTTTAGTTACAATCTGCACTTAAACAGGCAAATGTTTCTAAATTGCATTCTACTAAGAAGAAAATGTGACCACCTACAGGTGAGAGGATGCTCAACGGAGGATTTAATGTGAGAATATTAGCAGTGAAAAGGCTATTGGAAGGTTTTACTCTGCAGTCTATTCTATACCATCTAAAGCCCTCTCAGAACTGTCCCGAAAAATACTATGTGATGGATTACAGGGTCACAATTGTGTTCCCAATACATGTGAAGATTCAAATCTGTGAGATGAAGCATGAACTGCATTACTCTCTTTAAACAGCAGGGGGGACCATCGATTTTAAACTTTGCTTGTTCGACGTCCCATGGCTGTCGCAACTGAATCAAGGCGCAAAGACATGGCGGCCGCAGGTGAAGACTTTGAAATTGAGGATACCGCATCCTGTTTTATATTGGAGATGTGGCAGCTTTCTGGTTTCCTGAAATATGCATTGTTTTGCAGTTTACACCCTACCTGAGAAACCAAATGGATTCTTTTAATTTGGCAAAGAAAATATATTTAGTATATTTTTGTCTGAAAATTAAGAAATCTTTTTCAGTCATAAGTTTTCTTCAATCTGTGAAAACATATGGTGATAAAATCTTTTTGTGAACTCAGTACTGTGAGTTGTATCAATCGTAACCAACCTGCAACATGATCTACGTCGCATCATCTACAAACAACACTTCAAATCTCTCTATCTAAATATGCAGAGAACATGACTGCAGTGTTGTTGCCATTACCTTTTTCTCCAGTTCCATGTTTAGCCTCAGATCGATGTAAACAGGCTGCTTGAGGGGAGTGAAGTCCAACACTTGAAAGTTCTTCAGCATGTCGATGGCTTCTGCTGCGTCATAGATCGTCATGGGGTAGTACGTCCTAATGTACACGTCATCCACAGGCGCCCATGCTGTCTTGCCAAAAGGCTTATGTCTGCCTTTGTCATCAATTATCCTCTTTTCTTTCTTCTCCTCCTTCTTCTGTGTGTCATCTTTCTTGACTTTCTTTAATGACCTGACGAACAATAGGGGGAGATGTTAAACTGAGAAATATTTGGGTCATAAACCCTACCTCTATCTTTTCTTTATTTTATGGTTCATATGGAAACCTTTATTTAATTTTGAGTGACTAATGAAGTGGTTCTAGTGGACGGCTCCATCAGCTAAATTTGCAAAACTGTTGGAGGATGAAGCAGAATGATGTTAAAAAAAAAGCTCCAAAGACAGAATATTCTCTCCAGATGAAAATCTTTAGAGCTGGTTTTAGTGAACACATGGTTTATAAACTCACTTTAGAGTGGCAACAATCTTGGAAGATAGATGCCTTGTAGGAATTTGTGAAGCGCTTGTGTATGCACCAGCTCTCAGCAGGTGCCTCTGACATCCTCCTAAAACTGGAAAAGAGAAAAAAAACTGCTGATGATGACCTCCATTTAACACAGATAGATGCTGTTTGAGAGGTTTTCTGTGAAACTATGAAACGCACTCTTTATGTATTTAAGCATTATAACATCTGACATGATTTTATTTCCAATGTAAAATATGCAACAAGGCTCATCTCTGCAATCCAATGTGTGTCATTTGCATAAAACTGGAATATTTGCAATTTAAAGTTTATGTGAACTTGTTCACTTGGCACTAGTTAATATTCCCTCAGTGCAACTTTTAGGTTTACCACCAAAAGATCACACTCTGTGGGATAGTCTAAATCTTTGAGTTAATTATAAGCAATACATCTCAGGATGCCTGCAGGGATTTGTGCAGAAAAGTTGTCTAATGTGGTTGTACATCTATGTCTGTTACCCCTTCAGGGACTGTGTGCACAATGCAAAGCAGATTGAGTAAATTTAAATTAAAACTGATTTAAAAAAAAATTTAATTAATACGAAGATACAGTTTCTGTATTAATTTACTTGTATTACTCTTCTATGTTCAACAGTACGGATCTTCTCGACAGAGAGCATTTCAGATTCTACAGCCGCTCACATCGGCCGTATTTGGTTTATTCCGAAACTGCGTTCAAAAACCTGACAGTTATATACAACTTTTCTTATAAACGAAGACACATATCCAAAATAACATTTTCCAAACCCTTAACTGAATCATTAATACGAACTCTTCAATTCGTCATTCATATGATCCACCAAGCAACAACCTAATTGAACCAAATACCTACTTATTGAACTCGTTAACACTCCTCATCACCGCCCACCACGACGTGTTTAGGTTCAAGTACACACTGATGTCATCGACAACACTGTTCATTTTATTTACCTAAAAGCTTCCTTGCAACCAATATAACATAATCTTGAGTCGTGTCGGCCCATGTGTCAAACTCTTCAATACTCAAGGTATCGATATGTTTTGCTGTGTGGTCTGTAGAGCTAACGTTAGCTAACCGGCTATAATTTCCCTTCAACCGCACCGAGACACCACAAAGGAAGCCTGGGAGAATTAGCATCAACCTATTTCAGCAAATAAATCACTTAAAGTTCAGATATGAGAAAGTAAATTACCCAAAACAACTGACCTTTCCACACTGTCCGCATGCAAGTGGCCATGTCTAGGAATGCCGATGATCCGTGTGAAAACAACGATACGTACTAAACAGTTCCGCCTGGGAAGGAACACCCGTATCTCCAGTTTAAAAACTGTCAATATATAATTACATTACCTATTGGTAAATACTCAATACCTATACAAATACTAAGGGACTATCTATTATTAGTTGGCTCCAATGTCATATTCGGCATGTGTTTGGTATACAAATACTTACGTATTTTAGTAAATGTTTGACTTATATGTACATTTAGTCATTTCCAGAATCCAGAGAAAATGTAATAAAACTAAAAATTGACCCCCAAAAATATTCTTGCTGAATTAACCGCATGCCGAATTTGACAGTGGCTTCTAGATATTATTTTAAAAAAATAACTATGCCATTGCAATCTATGTATCTCTACATAATATTAAACTGAACTCTAATTAAGTTTGGTGACACTTCAAACTAATATAGAAAGTGACTCATTCACAAGCGTGGGCAGTACACTACGGCTTTCTAATAGCATATTGTGTTTTATTTTATGCTGAATATTAAAAATCATCTTTCCGTGACTTTGACAGGATGATGCCTTGAACGAGAGAAAAGATCCGGGGGTCCCTGCTGTGAGCGGACGGGGACGAGCGGAAGCCGCGTTTGTTGTTCTTCCTTCTGTTTCCGAGACGTTCAGGGTCTAAACGGGTTCAACAGCCGTGTCTGCATGTCTCTAACAATTCACTCTATAAATCGTCTGCTACCGCCCCCGAATGAAGGTAATGTCAATTCTGACTTTGTTCTCATGCTGCGGACACTTTGTCAAGGTTGACCCGGGTTAAATTTCACAGTTTAATCCGTTTCTGTTTTGTACCAACTCCGTATCCCCCCGCAGTCCGCCTCGGTTAGCCCCGGACGGCGTGCGCCCTCCAACCGCTAGCCAAACAAATCCAGCGCCGTGCTTTAAGCTCGCCGGGTGGTAAACTTGTTCATACCCTGTTTCTATAATAATTTAAACGTTTCAACATTTTGAGATGCAGAAATTGGCGTATCCAGAGGGCGTGTTTACCTCGTTGTCAGGTGTGACAGCTGGTGAGCGGTGGGCCGAACTTCTCCTGAACGGGCCCGTCCATGTATCGTTACGTGCTTGTCACTTTTGACATTAGAGCTATGTTTGGACACCCGCCTCTCAGCTGTTGGCGCAGTTGCCATCGCTACATTTTTTCCATGAACAAAAACTCCTGCCTTGTTCAAATGTAAAAAAAAAAAAAAAAGTAACAGATTTAGGGTTTACCATAATATTTAGCTTATCTGTAACAGTTCCCCCTGAGTCTTAAATGTGGATATGATCTCAGGCATGTGATGAAAGTTGCCCTTGCAACTTCAGTTTCGTGCCCCTCTCCGTATGGTTGAGATATGAACCAATGCCAGCGGGCCGTATATCTGTCCGCAGCCGCTGTTGCAGCTTACTTGTGACCCAGTCGTGTGTAAACAGGTTATGTAAGTTTTCTCCAAACTTGTTCACCCCCAGCCAACCTCATGGCGACTGGGTGCATAATATAATGCAATCAGCTCCCCCTTTTTTTCTCCTTTGCACGTCCATGTGTTTATATTCATGGTGTTCAGGAGATAATAACAAACTCATGAAATATTACACGTTTATTACACGTGTCCCTGAGCCATGCATGGGCAGCAGGCGGACTGCAGGGGGGTTTAAATAGCCTAACCTGCAACCTGGGTGGTTTCTTAAACCTCCTGCTGCTGCTTCTAAAGGACACGGCTGCATGGTTGCTAGTAGAGCAGCTGTGATATTCAACACATGAGGACTTCTTATGTCTTTGACTGAGTAACTTGTTGTTGTTGGGGTTTTTCTGCATGTGAATACTGCTTTCAAGCAATGTTGTGTGAGAAAGAGCTGGTAAAGTTGACAGGATAACCAAGCAGATAGAGGTATTTGTTTTTGATTTTATTCAGCGAGAACATTCAGCCCAGGACAGAGTCACTTACACTATCATGTAACTTTTAAGCCTTGTAATTTATTGCATTAATCACACTCTGTGCTGGTATGTTGTCTCATATCATGACATAGTTACTATACAAATATCTCATCTTTGGAGTATATTCTTATGTTTAAATACACCTGTTTTAGAAAAACACATTCTGGTTACATTTTGTGACACATTTGTGTTAATAACAATAATGTATGTAATATTATAATGTCATAAACATTCTGACCGGCAGCATAAAATTTGCTTTTTTTGATGTACATGGCCACATTGCGTCTGATTATTCAAATCTAGATTCCAGCTCCAATGACCTGCTCCAATTTAGTTTAAGTCTAGGCCAAAGTAAAAGCGAATTAAGATCTATTGTGCATATGTTGGTTGTTCTGATTTATTTCTGTACTGTGACAGTCAAAGGTCAATAACTGTGACATACAGGTGGAAGTTTTTAAATAGTTTTTGTGTCTGGTTGAGCTGCGCGATATTGTTTAAATCATCACAAAATGAGTCTTCAGTATTGATATATATCACAATAATCAGACTGATGTTGTTCAATGCACTGAGCTGTGTCCCCGCTTTATCGCCAGAGCCCAAACTCTTCAGACAGAACACTGTAATACACCATTTTGTTACTGTAGTTTGTATTTGTTAGTTTAGTTTGTAGTTACAGTATCATGGTGCTTTCATTGCATTGACACTTGAATGTCTATCTGTCTGCTTGAAACTATTAGTTTAGACAAGAGAATTTTGTAAAACTATAACATCATTAGATCATCATCATCACAAAGTAATTTCACTTACAGTCCTAGATAACATTGACAACATAAAGATAACCTTATTTTCTGGGGGTCAAATCAACCAAACATTAGTAAAATTACCAATGTTTGAAACTTCCGTATAATCAAGTAAAAAAAAAAAGTTGACTAAAGTCCAGATTCAGACTAGATTAGACATGTAGCACTTTAGCGATTACAGACAAGGTTTTGTTTTTCACTACAAATTTCTGCGGGAGATGCTTTATTTAAAGGGACTTTGGAACCATTTATTTAAAAATATTTCTTTCATGAATTAGTTTATGGGTGAGATCCGTAGGGCTGGAAAAATGCCCAAAAGTTGGCTGTTTTTTGTCACTCTTATTTGAGACGCTGGTAAGTGAGCTGTTGCTGGACTGGAGGCTCGTAATCTGCACTAAAAATGTTGGCAGCGTTTGATTGAATTAGAGTTATTCCAGTACCGATACCAGTATCGGAGTACTGGTACTGATACTGCCTAAAATGTGGTATTGGGTGTCAGTGAGTATGTGTGTCTCTGCACCGATCCGATACCATTTATTGGCCCACAGATATTACTATTAAAATCATCTGGGGTCTGTACAAAACAGTTTTCTTAAAGCTGGTGAACAAGAGTTGTAGACCAGGGTATCTCTGCAGAACTAGAGTGGTTCTGCTTCCAGCTGATCCAACGTGAGGAGTTGCTGCTTTTCTCTGTTTTATATCGCTCCCTGCCAGCTAATGTGTTTCTTGTTGGATTTGAACTGAAATCTGGGTGCTCTTGTGTTGTTTTTCAGATTAACAGGTATGCCAAAGGAAAAATATGATCCTCCAGATCCCCGTAGATGTTACACCATCATGTCAGCCGAGGAGGCGGCCAATGGGAAGAAGTCTTACTGGGCCGAACTCGAGATATCTGGTCAGTCTAACACGCCCCCACTGGTTCTGCTACTATGAAAACATCCCAACTGAGGCTTTGAGGCTCAGGTGTAAATATGTACCTAAAGAGACAGAAGATTCTTTTTTGCGATATTAGAAAAATAAGAAAAAAGTAGCCAAACAAAAACAATTGTGGAACAGATGCAAATATTAAAATTGACAAAATATTGTTAAGTTGGCATCCAGAGTCCAGTTTCCGCAGTGCTTATAGATTTAACATTTAACAATGTATAAAAGTCTAGCTTTTAATCTTAGTGAGAAGCTTCTTGACATTTGTAACTCACTCACATTGTATTAAGTGTCTTTAATGTTTCTCATTGTTTGTATTAGCGGGCAGTAGTTTCTGAAAGTGGAAAGGTGGAAATAAACAGAAAATGAATCAGTGCTAATTTTGATAGGTAATTTATTATTTAAGTGATTTTATAAGCAAAATATGTTGGGTTTGGGGAAGTAAAGATTTTATAGACCAAATTATCAATTGATTGAACAGATGCAGGTTTCTGTTGTGTTTTACTTGACCTTTTATCTGTACACATTAGATAGATTAGATCTGTGTCACATGATGGTCTAAATGCTGTTTTCTGTTTTCAGCTCTGATTCTATCCTGGCTGAAAAACTGAATGTAGTTCTTGTTCAGGCATGAAAATGAAAACGGGTTAGAAGCAAATATTGATATCAGTTTTCAAGAGAAGCCTTGCTGAGTCTTGAAGAGCCACAGTCTGTTTGGCTCCCTGTTTCGATTGATCACAAAGCTCAGATAGAAAATCTGTGTTTTTCTATTAAGATTTGAAAGTGATGTCCTCTTAAAGACAATCCGTTGTACTTGTGTTTGTTCTGACGCAGGACGGGTGAGGAGTCTGAGCACCTCGTTATGGACACTCACCCACCTGACGGCACTGCACATCAACGACAACAACCTGACCCGCATCCCGCCGGACATCGCCAAGCTGCCCAACCTGGTCTATCTGAACCTATCGTCCAATAAGCTCCGCAGCCTGCCCGCCGAACTGGGCAACATGGTCTCTCTCAGGTAGGCTGTCAGCGGGGTTGGTCCTGTTTAGGGATTTTAGGGACATGACTGACATGAGTGCCAAGTGTAGAGAAAACATGAGAGGACTGAATTCACTTGAACACCGAGCTTCATCACAGTAGCAGCCTGCATTAAAATCCACAGTGTCCAATCATCATATCACTTTGTCTCTATTAAGAGATAGAGTATTTAAAAAAATATGGCAATAAAACTACAGACAGTGTCAGTGAGTGTCACAGAGCTTTAGAGATTGGTTGAATATTCTGCAATTTTACATTGCAATATTGATTTATGCTATTAAATAATGACATTTCTGGAAATTTAATTGAGAAATTATCTTCAAATCAGGGTGCTTCATCACATTGATGCAGACATTGTGTAAATTCAAAATGATCATAAAGCAGATTTACACCTTGATTTGTAATCCACAATGGCCAAATACAGCCAGGGATTTCTAAGTAATGAGAGGGTTTCCGCCAGGGAATTAGTTAGCGGAGGTGGGACACTGTGAGTAATTGAGCCATTCCTCCTGGTCATAGTGATCAATAAGAGCTCCTTCTTAATTTGCTTCAGATTTAAGTGATGGAGGACAAAATCCACAGTTCTTGTTCTGTGTAAAAATGTAATTAAATGGTTATCTAAAGCTAAAATGAGGTAAATAAAGTGTATATCTTCCAAAGTCACAGTCTTTTTAATACAAAATTCCCTCTTGTGTTTTTATCTCTCAGCATGGAAACGCTTGGCTTCAGATAAACTTAAATACATTTTGGCACTGAATGAGGATATTGGATTTAGTCCCCCATCACTTACACTGGAAGCACATTAGCAATGGCTCTATTAATTGAAGGAGGAGGAAAGAAGAGAGAAGAAGAAATAACCATTGTTTTAATCCTTTAAATATGTCACTGCCTTTTCTGTACGATGTGACGATTACAGCAAGAAACCCTGTTCTGTCATTACTCTGTTAATTTAGTTTCCCAGTGCAAATAACAACAGTTCTTTAAAATTAATGTAATACTGAGTGTAGAGTTTGGACCAGATATGAATTTCAGATGTAATGTGTGTACAGTAAAATGTAATAAATAATAACTTAATGAATGAGAGTCACTGTCTCAGCTTCGTAAGTCTTCCATGTTTTGGATCTTTGTTTTTTTTAAAACTGCTTTTATATTTGCTGACATTTGTCTACTTGTTTGAAATTTAAACGACTTCATTTCTGCATTTCTCCCTGCTACATCAGTGCATATTTTGTTTTGAAAAATAAATGATTCTTTGGATTCATTCAAGGGATTACGTGCCAAACAAGTACAGAAGAAAAGTGATCAAAAAACATGATGATTAAAAACACAGTGATCAAACACTCAGAAGAAGGAGGAGGATTGTGAAATGTGTGGGTGAAAGTAGTTATCTCACGGGGCTCAGAAAAGCATCACACCTTGAAACTGACAAACAAACAAAAACAAAGATGACAAGCAAAGACACATTTTGACTGGAAGACTGAATTAAACTGACAACAAAGGACCACGTGGTAGGCGATGTTTTGACACTAGTAAAAATAGATCAATGACAAGGAATTACCACATTGTAAGAGAAAGTTTGTGAAAACCAGGAAAGACTGAGACACAAAATTCTGATATTTTTGTACCATTTCTTGCAGGGAATTGCTTTTAAACAACAATCTTTTACGAGTTCTGCCTTATGAACTTGGGAGGCTTTTCCAGTTACAAACTCTGGGGCTAAAAGGTGGGTCTTTCTTTTATTATTACCATTATTTTGGACCAAGAACTCAATTAAACATTTTACATTAAATTCTGTTTTAGATTACCACTATCCACCATGAATTCTCACTGCAACCAATCATTATTTGAGAACACTTTCTGAAAATCTCATAGAGAATTAAGACAGAAGTGTGATTTCCCTGCATTTTTATAGATAGTGTATTTTTGTTGTTTTGCAGGGAACCCTTTGTCCCAAGACATCCTCAATCTGTACCAGGAGCCTGACGGAACCCGAAAGCTTTTGAACTACATGCTCGACAATCTAGCAGGTAAACGGCTCGGTGGCTTCACCTTACCACACCAGCATTTATTGGAACTCATGCATTTTTAACTGGCAGCAACGCGGGTATATCATAGCAGGTATACCATTGTGGTTGTCCCAGACAAGGGAGCGCTTGTGCCTAATTTCTCCCTGCCCTGCCCTGTTTCCAGTGCACCCAGAGCAGCTCCCACAAAGACCTTGGATCACTCTCAAAGAGCGAGATCAAATGATTCCCACAGGTACGTTCAGCAGGCTTAATGTTATAGCATGTTTCACTTTCCACTTCCTGTTGGAGTAGAGATAATTCCTTATACTGTCTGTGTTTTTGCATGTCTTGGTGAAACATATATTATTTGTTATTTAAAGCAGCATTAGGCTAGATTTCTTTTGTTGTTGTAAAACTTCACTTCTTTTATCAGCTTAAATCACCAGTGGTGGCATCGCATTCCCGAAACAATTACACTTACAGGCCTATTGGTGATGTAAGAGGGTGTCGAGTTTTATTTAGTTGCCAAGTAGGATGTAACTCACTCACAACCTAATGCTTTATTTATAAAACACATTTAAACAACACAAGCTGCCCAAAAAGCTGTTTGCAAGTCCAGTATATAAAAATGGCCCTTATGTGTTTTTCAGCGGTGGCAGCCATCCTACTTTAGTTTCAGCTAGAAATATAGAAATATTTTTAGAATAATAAATGTTTGTCTTGCTACAGTTCCAGTGTCAGATCCATAGGGCCGCAAACACCAGAAGAATACAATCAAAACTAAATGGATCTCAACAATAATTATTTAGTACTTTTCAGCCTCTCTCCAAACTCTGTGATTTAGTTAACGTCTCTTCTCCTCTCCAGCTGTGTTCACGGTCATGTGCTACAACGTGCTCTGTGACAAGTACGCCACGCGACAGTTGTACGGCTACTGTCCATCCTGGGCCCTCAACTGGGAGTACCGGAAGAAAGGCATCATGGAGGAAATCACCAACTGTGACGCTGACATCATCAGCCTGCAGGTAAATGAGGGGTAGACACTGCCTTTACGCTTCCCTTGTTTCGACTGTAAGCTGAATTTGTTTTCCAGGGAAAAAGAAACACATCAGACAGTGACCAGAGCAGGAAAGAGGAAGATTTGTTTTGTGGACATGTCTAAAAGTAAACTATATAACTTAAGTGAGTCATGCTAGGCACGATGGTGCTTTGAACAAAATGCAGGTGTAATGTTAACCAAATTCGCTATCTTAGCATGGTAACATTAGTTAATTAGACCGGCCAACATTGCCATGCCTACAGCCGTGACGCTAGCATGGCTAAAAATGAATTTGCCCCTGGACCACACAGAATCCATACCTGCTTACTAACTTTTTTTTCCATTGTGGTTGTGATTGTAGCAATTTACAGTCTTGTAGCTCACTTGTGACCTTTTAATGCAAAGAAGGTCTCCAGCTACCATCTGTCCATCCACTGACTTCTTATGACCGCAAGGAAGAGTCACTCAGAACAATGTCAGCTTTAATAGACCATGAAACTGATTTATTGAGCTGTTCAATGTCGTCAGTGCTGTAACTGTCAGACTGTCCTCTGTGCAGACCTGCACAGCTGCTATCAACTCCACGGATCAGTCCACAGTAAACATTCCCCTTCAACACAACCAAGTCACTGTCTAGTAGATAAAGAGGTAGACATTTCTCATCACTGTAGCCAGTTTAGATTCCTGTCCACATAAAAGGAAACTATGTTGGTTCTCTAAGTCTGGAAAGTCCCTTATTTCTCATTTCAGATCAATTCACCATCTCTTTAATTGTCTTACTATCTACCTGGACGTTTCCAGAACGTCCACTAGTCAAGGAAATCTGAGAATATTTCTGAATTTTCCAAGGTTGGGAAGTCTATAAAGTATATAAATTAAAATTTATATAAATATGTATTGTAAATGAATACATTTAAAAATAAAATAGTGGGGATTGGGGAGATCTATCAATCTATTCAGCAAAATAGAGAATCACCTGAAGGTTTTTTTTATTCATCGTCTGACGATCACTCTTCACTCATCTAATTGTCTATTTTAGATGACATTTCTTGCCCTGTGTGTCTGCAGGAGGTGGAGACCGAGCAGTACTACACTTTGTTTCTGGAAACACTAAAGGAGCGTGGCTATGACGGCTACTTCTGTCCAAAGTCTCGTGCCAAACTGGTTTCTGAACAGGAGAGGAAACACGTGGACGGCTGCGCTGTGTTCTTCAAGACCGAGAAGTGAGTTTTAGAGCTTTACTTTTTGTACATTACAGAACTACTAAAGAAGGGACATTTTTACATTTGTAATTAAAACACACATTTTCAAACTCCTCTATGGATATTTATGTTGCTTTGTGGATGGTTCTGCAGGTTTTCTTTGGTCCAGAAACACACTGTGGAGTTCAACCAGGTGGCAATGGCCAACTCTGAGGGCTCAGAGGTCATGCTGAACAGAGTGATGACCAAAGACAACATCGGGGTGGCTGTTTTGCTTGAGGTCAACAAGGACATGTTCTCTGGTGGTAAGAACCAAAAGAGTCGCTCCGTGAACCTTCTTTGGAACATAACACAAAACAGACGATGTAATGTTACTATCCCTTGTGTCGTTGTGCTGTAATCCAAGGCGACACTTTGAAGCCTCTAGGTATTCCAGTTTACCAGAAACAGTCCAGTCCATCGATGTGCTCCAATGTTGTAAAAGAGCTCTAAGTGACGTCTTTCATTGCTTGTTTTGTCCGATCAACAGTCCACCACCAAAATATATTCAATTTACAATGATATAACATATAAAAAAGCAGCAAATCCTCACATTTAGAGAGCTTATAAATGTTGAAACAATTAATCGATTATCAAAATCTGATTAACAATTAATCAACTACTAGTCCCAGCACACGCATATTCTCAATCTGGGTAATATTACATGTGACTTGACCCCCATACCTTTGTAACTTTAACAGTTAACCAGACCAATCATAGGGTTATTATTAATGTATAATATATACATGGGGCCATGGTTACACTGTAGCAAAATAGTGTAGCCACAAATTAATCAATAACATTGCAGTCAACTTGTAAGCAGCAATCTAAAATGCTGTGTTTTTCCAAATATATCAAAGTGACACAGGAATAATCTGTAGTAAGATCTTTTGCCACAAGGTGTCACTAGTGACTTTCAACAACATCAAATGAATTTAGTTGATTTCTAATTAAAGGAGTGATATAGAATGAAAGAGTGGTCTGTTGGTGGCTTGTGTTTCATAAATCAGAATCAGAATTGTTTATTGCCAGGTAGGTTTTACACCTACGAGGAATGTGACTTGGTGCGTTGGTGCATTAAATGCGCACCAACGCACCAAGTAACAATCAATAATCTCTTCTGTTGTGGTTTTGCAGGACAGTTTTGTTCCATGTATTTAGCAGTGACAGTACATAGAGCTTAACTTCCCTCTCTGTGGGGGATTTATTTCTTTCTTCAGTCATGTGTAAATCCCTCTCTTCCTTTTTAATGATTTTATTTTACATTCTGGGCACTTTTTGTGTTTCTAAAGTTGCACCAGACTTCTGTGCTTTTCTGTAACCAAAATAACCAAAATAAGTCTGTGGTCAGGTTTTATTTAGCGGTTTGGGAGTTTATGTTTAAGTTGGGTTTTTTTGGCCTTATTGTAATCCCCTTTTAGATTTCTTTCATCCCACCTAAACAGTTTGATGTTATCAGTGTGAATTTTTACTGGACTGAATTAATTCAGCTTAATTTTTCACTCCTTAATTGGCCGTTTATCTGTGAAATAATCCTGTTTTTTTTTATTCTGTTAAGGCATGAAGCCACCACAGGAGAGGCAGCTGATCTTGGTGGCCAACGCCCACATGCACTGGGACCCCGAGTACTCGGACGTCAAGTTGATCCAAACCATGATGTTCCTCTCGGAGCTGAAGAGCATTGCTGAGAGGGCCTCGGGCTCCGTGGCGACCGGTTCGCCGACCTCTGACCCATCCTCCATCCCTATCGTCCTGTGTGCTGACCTCAACTCGCTACCTGACTCCGGTAAGACTGTCTCCCTTTTCAGGAAGCCCTGTTGGCGTTTAGTTTTTCTCAGTTTATGTTGCTGCAAATTTAGTTTTGTATGTTGGTATTATTATAAATAATGTTATTTGCACAGTGTGATTCTCCTAAACTAACACATACTGTATACCTGCATGCAATTATTTCATAGTTTCCCTTTTTAGCAAATAGATGATGCAGTTGGACACTACATCATAATTGGTGCTATGAAGATAAACACAAACATAGATTTTGGGGGGCATTTTTAGGATTGTATTTTAAAAAGAAAGAGGGATCTGGGTTAAGTCGTGTACCTTTGCAATACAATATTACCTTTGTATGAACCAGGTGTGGTGGAATACCTGAGCAACGGAGGAGTGGCCGAGAACCACAAGGACTTCAAGGAGCTACGCTACAGTGAATGTCTGACCAACTTCAGCTGCAACGGCAAGAATGGCAACTCAGATGGAAGCATCACACACAGCTTTCAGCTGAAGAGCGCCTACGACAGCAATCTGATGCCTTACACCAACTACACATATGACTTCAAGGTAAAAACCTCCCTGAGTGTTGCAAGTTTTAAAAAACCTCTTTTGATTCACTCTAGATCTTTTTTTCTTTTGGCTACAGGCTGCCATTTGTCTCCATTTATTTCTTTAAGTTTGCAATTCAACTAGCAGACCATTGAAACTTGCACGACTCAGTTGAATTACAGAACTCAAGCAAGTTTCAGAAGTCTGCTAGTAGTCTTTCAGATTGCTCAAAAATGAACTGAAACCAATAGATGCCTGGAACAATAAACAAATAAAACAGCACGGTTTGCAAAATGTTTAGCAATAATGAAAATAATGTGTTATGTAGTAATTGGTCTAAAGCATGTTAAACCACTGATATGGTTCTTCATGAAGTTAGGTAGCCCATTGTAACCAACAACAAATTAAACTGACCCATTCCCTCCTTATTACTAATTTTGTGCCTTAGGTTTGGATAATGTATGTGTAAAACATATATAAAATAAATATTTGCCAGTTCACAAAGGGCTCAGCTACACTGCATGTAGAAATGAATACACTACAACTCCTGTGCTGTGATCATTTCTCAACCAAAAACTAAAGGACATACAGATCAATGGTGGGTGGTTACAAAACACAAATCTTGCTGATGTGTTACAGTATTTGCCACAAGACTGATATGATGAGTGTTTTTGCTGTGGGAGATCTCAGTTGGAACGGAAATCCCTGAACGTTGCAGCATATGAGATATGAGGTTTTATCATATGTGGTACGAAACAACACAGCACAGCACAACTTACCTTCGCTTTTTTTAGATGTGTTGGTGGTAAAGCGTGTATGTATATGTGAATCTGCAGTTTGGATTTGTCTTGTGGTTTTTGCTTTGGTTCCTAATGAGTCATGCAGGCATTTGACATGTTTTTCTGCTCCTGGTTTTACATTAGTATCAATCGACTTCCCGGACTGTCTTACACAAACCTTTAATATGCAGAGGTTCTCAGAGAAACACTGAGCTCATCTTTAACAAATGGATCCTCTATTTTGGCTCCTTTTACAACAAAATCCCTGTTTGTGTTTATTTTTCACTCTTTCATCTTTTCAGTTTTTTGGAAATAGTCAGTGGGCGTAGATTATTATTACCTATTTTTACATATTACGGATGAGGCTTTAGGTTTGAGAAGTTTTTTCCTTCACACAAACATCTACGTGAACCCTTCCTACGCCGGACTGACAGACACATCAAAGGCTGTCATTGTTCATTATCTTTGCTTCCAGTTTTCATACCCAACAATGACAGAGGTTGTTCCAAAAAAATTGTTGTCAAACTTCTCTAGAACTATCCATTTTAGATTTTAGATTAATAACTTGAATTCTAAATAATTTTCTTATTTCAGTAAAAAGTCCAGTATCCATCTGCTCGGCTCAGTCTTTTGTCAGTGAATGTTTTCCTGACCAAAACCGTAAGAGAAATGATCCTGTCTGAGGCTCACAAACCAGAACATACATTCTTCTTCATGTCTTCCTATCTAGTTTTTGTTCAGCATACAGGATCTTTTCCTCCTTATTGGTCCTATGGTGGATTTTCTGACACACATGTCCCTCAAGATTTGGCCAAGACTGCAAAATTACATCTTTTATACAGTATGTTTATCTGAGACTGAATTTTGGTAATATACATACACATGAAGGGGCCAAATTTAAGCTTCTGTGCCCTCTGCAATCTCTTATTTTGTTAAAGTGTCATATCCAATGGCATTACTAGTGTACGGTGTTGTTTGAAACATTTTGATACACACACACAGGACATTGCCTGTCCCTGTATTTAAGCGAAGTTCAATATTCAGGGAAAAACATTTTTTCGCTTTCTTGCTGAGAGTCAAATGAGAAGATTGACTTCTCTCCTGTCTGTACGCTAAATATGAAGTTGATGTCAGCAGGCAGTTAGCTTAGCTTAGCACAAAGACTGGATACAAGGGGAAACAGCTAGCCCATCCCTGTCCACAGGTAACAACATCTGCCTACCAGCACTTTTAAAGCTCATCCATCAACAAATTATATCTTATTTGCTTATTCCGTGCAAAAAACAAAGTTTCACAACAACAACTGCCGCCAGGCTAGCTGTTTCCCCATGTTTCCGGTCTTTGCGTTAAGCTAAGCTAAGCCAACAATCTCCTGGCTGTAGCTTCATGTTTAGTGTACATAAATCAGAGTGGTATTAATTTTGATCTAATTGAACACGAATAAGCGCATTTCCTCAAATGTCAAACCTCCCTTGAAAAGTTTAACATATTTCGTAAAATAGTAAAAAGGGTCATCTGCTGAAGTATTTAGTGCCAGTTTTCACTGATAGAGCTTAGAACATAGTATTAAAGGCCCAGCCCTAAATCGATATCACATATGTTGTCTTTGTGTCTGCAGGGCGTGATCGACTACATCTTCTTCTCCAAGACCCACATGAGTGTTCTGGGCCTGCTGGGACCGCTGGACAGCCAGTGGCTCATCGACAACAACATCACCGGCTGCCCCCACCCCCACATCCCCTCGGACCACTTCTCCCTGCTGGCCCAGCTGGAGCTGCAGCCTCCCCTGCCCCACCCGCTCAACCCCCTCAATGGGCTGCACCTTCCGGTCCACAGGTAGTGCAGCCCGAAAGAGCCCCGCCCACCCTTCTTACGCCACCTTCAAGCACTGTCCTCCCCCTCCAGCTTTATACAGGACCCTGTACAGTTTATCGATCATGTTTAAACTCAGACCCCTCCGAGACACACCTACCCAAAAGGAGTGAAGTATTTGCCCGTTTGTTGCTCCTTTTTGTGTTTTTGCACACTGTAAATGTTTTATTTTATTTTACTTTTTCTTTCTCCCCTTAAAAAGGCTTGATACCAAATGTACGGCTTGGGATGAAGTTGCTATGGTAACCCCCAATGTCAATTATTTTGTTTGCCTTACAAACAATCATGACCACTTCTTAGATTCTGCTCCTACAACAACAAACCTTAACTAATTCTATCAACTTTTAAAAGATAAATCTTCGACACAAATGTCAGCAGAAAAGCTGAATATCATTTGCATTTCTTTTTTCATTTCACACAGCTGTGAAATCATCTTTTTAGAGTAAAAACAGAACTGGAACCTGGTATCACTCCCAAATTAACTGACAGGTATTTTAATAAAAGGAGTAACACTACAAACAACTGAATCAAAGCTAGGAATGTTGTACGAGGATGTGAAAGGTCTGTTTGCATCAGTCTTTTTTGTAAACACAGGTCCATATTTTTAGTTCTGATCAGCCGAAAAACACCAACATAGTTAATTCAACTACATGTGAGTAAATACCTGCAATTTTAAGGTAAAAAAAAGTACTGATTGGGCATTTTTAAAAGTAATGTAACGTCATTGTAACACTAAATTGGTGTATTTCATATGGGAACAAGAACATGAAATCGTCTCATGTCACAGCTGCAAGTCTTGTGAATCTTTGGTCACATGACAGCACTGATGATATTGATGACAGATTGTTTTAGGGTGCTTTCAGATTGAAACTTGCCTTGTGGATATACTAGTCGTTCAAGTCAAACGTTTTCTGGATCCCATTTCCACATCATTTGGGATTACGTTGCCTGGTCCAGTTTTAAAAAACGTGAGAAAGAAGTTTACCTGACTCATCTTTTTTGCAAATCTAAACCTGAAAGCCGCCTCATGGTGCTGCGTGGATGTTACCGAGCTGCTGCATTCACTTCTATGAATTTCTTCTTCTTTAATATGGGTCTTGTACCTCTCTTTGATCATTGCTAAATATTTGACCTGCAGAGGTATCGTGTTCATCTTGGCCGATTCATGCTCACTGTAATTTAAAAGATGAGATTCTAGAGTTTTCTGCATCACTATGAAGTAATAAAACAATCAATTCAGGCCGAATGAGTGCCGAAATCCCAAATGTAAGCCTTGCAACCAAATTAGCCCTCTACTCTATGACTTGCTTTGAAAAAAGTATTTTAACACAAGAAATAGATTTGTAACACGGTCCTGACATTGACCAACAAGGCGCTTTACACTTTTAGCTTTTGAACACCTACGATCTTAAAAGAGAATCGTCCCGTTTCCCATCACCTGACTGGCCAAAGAATCTCCCCAGAATGAGTGACTCATGCTCTGTCGATAATAAGATAGTATTTATTTATAGGTCACAGAGAAAAATACTTTTTGAGAAGAATCTACTGAAGATTTGTGACCAGGAGTCGAATGTATTATGTACCGAAGGCTCACTAGGAAATTGGTTGTTTGAGCCTCTTAATGCCAGATTCCTGTGGACTCTAAACTTTGTATATTTATGTCAGATGATTAGAACTAATAGCCCTTTATGTAAGTTGTAACTCAGGGCTATGCTATGCATTCAGCAGTACCTCTCAAATGAAAGACTCGAAAGAGTCGCACCGTACGAGCAAAACCAAACAGGAAGCTATTGTTCTGAAAATCCTTTATAAGCACAGGTAGTGTATGTATGGCATACAAATATGTTGTTGTTGTAGAAATCCCACGTCTTTGTGCATTTTTGATAAAAAAAAATACTACTGCACTTTTGTTCCATTCCCAAAAAGAAAAACTTGGGAAATTTAAATTTATCAAATTTTTGAGCCGCAAAAAGCATTGAGATAAATTTGGTTTAGATTCATCATCATTTTGTTTCGTTGTAAGGCTTTTAAGAGCAGCTCAATGTGGGATCGACAGGATAAATGAATGCAAGGGTTGGACTGGGTATCAATAATAGTGCTGCTATGATACAGTACCTGAGTTTCAGTACCAATTAAATAAAATAATATTTTTTTCCCCATATTTTGAGAAACTAAAAGGGGGCACAATCCTGAAATGTTTAATGTCGTCAAAACCACTGGCTCCAAATGCAGGGGTCAGGACCCACACAAGGGGTCATGAGATAATTAACATGGTAGAAAACAAGAGAACTAATGCCTTCTGCTCTAACCACAATCAGCCCCACGACACTGTCTAAAATAAAATACTGTCTAAATTTGTAAACATAATCTAAATCAGGAAAAAAGTATTGATACCCAGCCCTGTCTGTGCAGGCGGACTGAAATAGCTGCCTGCACGTGCTCTCAGTGCTTAACATATCTGGCACATTTCCTACTGTAGAGTCTAGTAAACCCTGACTTTTTGAGATTGAATTAGTTAAATTAGTCATAGCATTTGCTCTGTTCAGTATTTGAAAAGAAAAGCCATAATTCTGGGATAAATGGTGTCAGCACAGCACGGCACCCTGTAACCTCAGCTTTAAACCGCAATCGGATCGGTTTTACCGGCAGTATCGGCTTTGCTTCATTTGCACATGATTTGACGCTAACCTCCAGTTTTGGTGGAGTTGATGAAGTCTATCTTTGTGAGCATTTTGAGGCCTATACTTCACTCCTACACTCACCTCACTGGGTTTCTGATTTTGTACAACAGCTGTACATAAATTAAATTGCCTTTGACGACAGGGCGTCTTTCACATCTGTGAGGGGAATGTACCATTCTCCGATAAAGGGGCGTATTTTTTCTCACAAATCAAAGATGTACTTGTACTTTTATTTTCTTTGCCCGATGCACTAAGATCTCTTATGTGAATACAACCTCCACCTGTGTCTGATGCTCAACATTGTTTTTGAACTACGGGCATTTTCTGTCTCTAACTAACATGCAGTCTTTCAATTGGTACTTTGTACAATTCAGTATTACCAAGTTTTTGAGGAAAAAAAGATAAATGTTCTAGGTTTAAAAGCAGTTTGTCTTGATGGCTTTTATTTCTCCAGTGCACATTTAAGTGTCCACCCAACGCTTTTCAAGCTCTGATGATGTTGCTAAATCAAATTATTTTGGTTTCTTCCTCTTTCTATTTGATGTTTCCCCCTCTGAGTTTTCCATATTCCTGTCAATCACACACATCATCCAACATCAGCCACTTGTTTTCCTTTTTCCACCATAATATCCAACTGTCATTACCTATAAGCATTTGACCTGTTAATTTTGTCTCTGTAGAGTGCACCTCACATACTTTTTCTACAAACAACGTGCCTAGTTTGTACAATTTCTCCAACAGCAGCACTGCCCATGAGACCAAGACGCTCAGAGATTAACCCAGCACCATCATCCAGCCATCCGTCCATCCATCCTTTCATCCTTCCAAACCTTCCTGAAGCAACTCTTTGGGAATGAGATCATGAGGAATTGAAACTGAAGAATTATTCACCTCAGACAGGTTTCAGTTTTTTTAATCTAACAGGTTTTTTGTATCCGTAACATCAAGGACAAACCCGTCATTTCTACCAGATATCTGAACACTTGTTTGTGGGTTTTTTATTTTGTATTTTAGTTCTACAAAAAAAGTTGCTGTATCGTTCACAGGATTACCATGACCATCATCGCATGCAATTTCTGAATGTAAAAATCCTGTTGTTCAATATCTGGCCATTTTTTGTTTTTGTTTTTTCTTTGTTTTTTCTTCCTTCAACTGTTAAATTCATTCAGGCTGATTTTACAGCAATGTGGTCGCTACATGAGGTTATTAAATCTGTGGCGGCCAATAAGATGCCCAGCAATGTTCACTGGGGAAAATGAGGATTATCTGACAAAGCATTTAGCATTTGGACAAAGGGTTTGTTGTTTTTAATCTGCTTTTACGTGTTGAATTTGACAGCCTCCAAATAGGCCTGGTCGCTGCATCCAAACCAGAAAACATGAATTTAAAGGACTTAAATGTATAAATGTAATAATATTTCTTCTCGGTGTATTAACCTGTAAATAATGATGTGGAAAAGGAATTCAATACACACCAAAGAAGTCTGATTGAATTAAGAACTGAGGCGGTACAACCTTTAAAGGCATGGTGTATCGTGAATATTTTCAGTAACTCTTGACACACACAGTGTCATTGTTCATTTACAATAATGACCACAGGTTAATGCACTGGCTATTTATTTAAAGTGATACCATAAGATTTGGACTACAAGGGGGGAAAGGCAGCAACTTTAGTGTCAAAACACTTTCTAAAGTCTTTTCAGGTTCCTGTCTCTCCTTCACAAATGTAATTGTGGGACAAATAAGAACAGAAATGCAATGCTATGCTATTATTTCTTACTTGGAGCATTCCTAGAAAAAGTCCCTTAAAGTTACTGCCTTTCAGCAACTTTCAGCAGATTTGTTTTATTCATAATTTAAGTAAGTGAAGTGAAACTGGGTGAGGATCCTCAGCCACCAGCAGTCACCAACAAAGGTGCTACATTTTAAAGGACTGCATTTAAACCTTATATGTAACAACTGTTTTAAGTTTCGAGACAAGCAGCTCTTCACCACATTGGTTTTCAACCCAGCCAGCCTCCACCACAGACGGGAGGAAGCAAGCAGCCAGTGAGCGTTTTGCCACAAAGGAATTGTGGTGGAGAGCTAAACTTAGACAAAGAGGGTTTTGTATTGTGGAAGCCAAAGTACGCATCACGTCTGACAATTAAATGTCAACAAGGTGCAAAGCTGCAGCGACACAAGCTACTGTTCGCCTGCGAGGACTGGCAGTTTGTCTAACGTAGGTGGCAATGATGATAAAAATATACAGATCTATCCTTTGTAGATGTCCTGTAAAAGGTGTGTTCCTGAAGATAAAAAGATTTGAAATCAGTGAAAAGTTGTTTCTGTTACAACTTTTCAAAGAGCAGGATGCTGTTTATACGATTTAAAAATAAAAAGGACTACATCACACTGTCATCAGTGTTGGTTGAAGACCTGCTCTAATTTGGGGAATTTTCATGCTTTCATTTAATTTAAGAAAGTATATGGCCCTCTGTGAATTCATAAAGCTTTTATGATAATAAACTCCAATTTTACACGTACACTAGTTGAGTTTACTTGTCAGGAGGAGTACCACTCAAAACAGCTGTATAATGTCACCTTTGGCTCTGGAGGGAGCTTTCTAAAGTTTGAAACAATAACCCTGATTATGCAACAGTTATCTTAGCTTGTGCTTGGATAATTTTAACAGAAAGCCTATGTTGCAGTCTGGAGGTGTGGGCTTTGAAACAAGCAGGCATTTAGGAAGCAGGGGGTCTAATGGAACATGCTATTGAGCTGCATTATGGAAATTGTAGGGACTGAAAGTCAGGATATCTAAGTCTCCTGCTAAGATTGTGACCATCCTGACCATACTAAATCACGTTGGTAACAGTACAATGTTACCAAACAATTAGGGTTATATATAAAAAGCTTTATTAGAAAAGCTCACACGTGGGTTACAGGAGGTTTTCATCCAGAAATGTGATTTAGTTGAAGTCTTCTCTCTGTAGTTCCTGGGGGCCCGAGCCAAACAAGCTACTTATTTGGCTGATACCTTGGGCCAGCTCCGGCCCAAATAACACTCATGTATGTCTAGAGTATTGAAGCAGTGATATTTACTTGAATGAATGGAGGACTTCTACAAAGGCTACAGCTGTATTTAATATGTGAGCAGTTGCACCTCATTTGAAGCCAAACATGCTCAATAGCACTTGTATCATCTTTCCACACAAAGCCCCAACCCCTTCCCACCTCCTGTAGGCAATAAACATGTCATTTTTGAAGAGTCTTTTTGTCTGTGCTTTTATTCTGTTTAACAAGACAAGTCATGGATACAAGAACATCAGAACATCAGAAGTTACAGCACCATCATCCATATAATCAATGAAATGTTAACAGCAGGATCTGATTCACATTTACAGGAAAGCATTCTTTATTTTGTTCATCGTGTGATTATTAACTATTAAACCAATAACAGAATTTTTCTTCATATTACAGATTTGTGGTTTCTGACAAAAAAAATGGCAACATGAATACACTGTACAGCAATATGAGTATTACTATTAAATGTCCATACCTCTGGCATATGATGAAGTACTAAGACAGTCTCATAATAAGCGGGTTTCAAAAGGCCGATTGATTGAAGAAAACTATACTGAAGGTGTTAAACAGTATGAAATCATCAGAAGTTGGTTGTGGCAGCAGTGGGTGAAACAGTGGTTTCAGCCATATTTTTCCTATAAATAAAGTGAAAAATTGAACATTAGAGTGAATAACAATAATAATTATTTGTGTTTATGATTGCAACAACTCATTATTTATCTTATTATCTTTCTGCCTAAACATTTGGTTAATAAAAGCTATTTTTATTAAAAGATATTACAACAATGAGTTGTAGACTAAAATCACAGAAGAAATATAAAAACAAGTCATTACTTTTGAAAATCTCTGATGTAGTCAATGACCCATGATGCCGTTGGACTGACACAGACTTTAGAGCCGTTCCTTCTGGTGATTCTGTGGAGAAAGGGAGTGGTTACATTATTATTAAAGTTCAAATGTTCACAGTGTACAGATGCTGCTCCCATTCAGACACTGACAACAAGAGTTACAGTACAGAACCTTTCAGTTGAACAGGAGTGGTTCAGTAATGTAGATGTGTGTTCTGAAATGTTATTGATAACTTCAGTTTTTCCATTTTGTGCAATGTTGTACTTTTATTTCACTTTTACTCTGACAGCAGAACTACTTTTGGTTAAAAAAATCTTTATGTGGCTAATGGGACACTTCCAAGCTGTATCAACGTTCGAATGTCAAACCAGAGCTAAAGTAGTAAGTACAGAAGTTAACTCGAATACTGTTTTTGAAGTACTAGTACAACATTATCTATCTATTTATCTGCTCTCTTCCCAAGAGTGAGATAATGACTTGGATATCACTCTGTATTTTTCCCTGCACTACAACAGCTATGGTTACTTTCCAGATTACAAATTTCCATACAAGATATTTAAGATCAAAATATGATGCATTATGTTGATAAAACCAACCAACTTGCTTGAATGCTTCACTCCAAGCAGCTACAAAATTATAGAACAGGAAAATTATATAAGGGGCTCCTGTAGGATGAATACATTCACTTTTGATACTTTAAGTACTTGAGGCACTTGTATTCAGGTAAAAATTTTGAGCGCAGACTTTATTTGTAATTGAGCATTTTTACATTGTGTTATTGCTACTTGCTGGTATAGTATATTTTACAAATAGCAACTTTTACTTAAGCAGAGAATCTAAATACTTTTGTCACCTCTACTCTCATCAGGATAAAACCACCTTGTCAGCAGCTGTAACCAATCAGAAATCTTTGACTCAATTAGGACTACTCACATGATTTCAATCCAGCGACAGTGTCCCGAAATAGGAATCACCTCAATTTTCTTGATGACGCGAAGAGGAATGGTATTCGAGGTTGTCCGTATACAGGAACACCCCGACCTGGGAAAAGCTGTGAGAAGGTAACATTTAAGAAGCAGTTTAATTATTGTAGTGACACATTTTACCCTTGAGAAGCCCCCTGAAAATCAGAGTGAACTTTGGCAGGAGAAATGAGCTCAAGGTCCTGTCAGTAGCTCTTTCTGGAGCTTTCAATCACATCTCACAGTCTTTCTCAGCCGATGGAGTCTGATCACATATGATGAGCAAACTCCATCAGCTGAGAAAGGCTGTAAGATGCAGTTGAAAGCTCCAGAAAAAGCAAGTAAGTGGACCTTGAGTTAAGATTTTTTATTTTTGTCAAATCCTTTGACACCCAACTCACACAACAGAATACAACTATTTACTTCAACTGTAAAACTATAAAAAAGTATGTTTTATTCTGTTTGTGTTTTACAACAGAATAATTAAAAGTATAAATAAAACAAGAATTAAACATTAAAATGAAATCAATATGAGACAATTACCACAAAATGAATGTATAAAAATGATAGTGTTAGAGCGACATAAACATAAACAAAGCGCAATATAATGCCTAAAAATGTACATTTAAAATTACATTACATGTGGTCCAGACATATTAAACTGAATTGAACAATCTGACAGACTAGATAACTGAATTTATTTTCAAAAAGAAAATCAATATAAAAGAAAAATCTCTTACCATGCAGAGTGGAGATGTAGCAGAAGAGAGTCAGAGCGGCTAGGAGGAGCAGTGGTTTAGTCGTCATCTTGGCGGTTGTTTGATCTTTCAAGGCCAATGAGGATATGAGAGTGATGTGAGAGTGTCTGTGAGAGTGAATGGAGTAGAGTCTCGGTTTATAAAGAGGCCAAAAAGGAAGTGTGTGTAGGAAACAGTGCTTATTTTTCCTGTCTTGGCACATCAAATATGGAAATTGTGGCTTGCTTTTTTTCGGGGGTTTCTGCTGAATAACCTTTATATGACAAAAGGTATTAGTGGGTTTTTTTAATATATATTATCCTACAAATCTGATATGTTAGCACTTTTAGAATTAAAAATGAATTTCCATTACGAATTACGTACATGACATAACTAGCAGTCTGTCATTGCCTTCCAAAACAATCCAAATGAGCATTTTCTGATCTGGAGCCCCTATCAGCAGGAGGTTTGTCTGTGCCTTACAACAAGTACAGGAAATTATAAAACTCTTTTATTGTTAAGGCTGAAACTAATTTGCTAACATTAGGTTAAAGATCATGGTTAAATGAAACCAACATCAGATGTCAATTATTAAGGATTCTATGCCAGTTCCAGCATGAAAACAACCACATAATGGCAGAATGTGCATACAAAGATGCCAGATAGAATACCACACAGATATGGCAACAAATGAACAGAGCAGAATGCAATGTAGCATTTTAAATTACTATATATGTGACTGAAGTGGGTTTTATGGGTCTGATTACCTTGATGAATACTCTTCAGTACCCTACTCTACAAGCTGCTTAACCGTAACTAATCCCTCTGACTGAATCTAAGAATTACTGATGCTATACATTTTCACAGAGGGTCGCTGAACTGCTGAGCTGCATTTTACCTCCAGGTGAATTTTACCTCCAGGTGCTACAGTCAGGTTGCTGGTTGAGATTCTAAAGTATCATGTTTAAGAGAGAAAAAAACAAAAAATTCTATATAGTTATTTTTAATTCCTGTCACTGGGTCAGATTCTGGTGGTAACAATGTTGGAATCAACACAAAATGAAGGTTCCTTGTAGCTACTTCAATTTTATCTAGACGCAGCATCAGCACATGATAGGAGAGTTCTAAGAACTGCAACTACTGCAGACAACTCAAAAGCAGATTCATGGACATTTGGTCCAGTGCAGACTAACTATAATTGCAACAGTTTGGGTTCAAGCTGATCAGAATCAGGAACAGAAAATATGCAGGATACTGGAGAGTACCAAGAACCAAACTCGCGCTGACCAGTACTTCTGTATTTGCCTTGGAGGTTCCTGACCACATCCTTTTCTGTAATTAATTGGGGGGACTTATATCTGCCCCAAAATTAGACTGTAGTTCCCGTTTATGAAAATAATATGTATATTAGATTAAATTTAGATAAGCTCAGTCAAATACAGTAAATACTGAACTCAGCTGGGCTCAGGTTTTGAACCTTATTCTAGTGGGTCAAAAGAGGACACTAAAAGTTCAAGGTACATGCAAGTTTCTTTATTAAATAATTATTATTATTCCTGCAAGATTGCCATTGCCAATACTGTTGCTGTGCACCTGTCTGTCTGTCTGTCTGTCTCTCTCTGTCTCTCTGTCTCTGTCTCTCTCTCACCCCAACTGGTCGAGACAGACGACCACCCACCTAGAGCCGAAGGATCTGTCCTAGGTTTCTGCCTTTTAACAGGCAGTTTTTCCTTGCCCTTGTCGCCAAGTGCTTGCTCATGGTGGTACTGTTGGGTCTCTGTAAATAATGTTTGAAAGAGTTTGGTCTAGACCTGCTCTATTTGAAAAGTGTCCTGAGATAACTTCTGTTATGAATTGGCGCTATACAAATAAAATTGAATTGAATTGAATTGAATTGAATTGAATTATGTTTCCAGTTAATCAGGCTCTAAAATTGATGTTACAAGGGTCAGTATACAATAACCATATAGTGTCAGATTAACAATATAGTATAAATCTCTATCAGACAGAGATCCCTGAGACTACATCTTATCAAATACGGGTCTGCAGCCTAATGTTTATCCATGTGGGGGTCCTTGACACAAGAAAGGTTAAGAATCACTGCTCTAGGGTGCCCTTCCAGTGGACAAAACATGATGTGCCCTTACTCCACTGGAAGAGCATAATAACATAATAAAGTGGCCTCTATGGTGCTTACCCTGACCTTGACTAAGCGCTTCAATACACATAACGTGTGTCTTTGTGACACAAATGGGTGCACAAATGCACTTGTATATTCACATAATAAAACTATTTTATTTATCCACCGGATAGCTGGTCCCACCACTGAGTAAATGAAAGACAGCCACTCCAACACAGACAATGCAGTAGGTGCCCAAGTTGACATGAAATGGCACAAAATGCATTTGACACCTAACACATTATTCCTTATTTGGCTTCAGTTCTCCGTCACTACCTCCAAATGTAGCTCAAACAGGCAGATTGGTGACTTGGGAAAAGTATGATAAATTATTCCCTTTAAATGGCCATTTGTAATCACTTAAATCATCCTCTCCAAGCTCCAATGTGTTTTAGGAGGACCTACTGACAGAAATTGAATATAATATTCATAGATATTGTGAGGGACCAAGCAGTTAGGCAAGAGGAGTCAGGGAATTTCAAAATTTCAGAAAGGGTTTTTATTTTACCAAAAAAAATCATTACAACAAAATAAAGCTAAAGTTTGGGCCCTTTAAAAGAGGTCAAACAAACTGAACTTAAGCTCTGAACATAACAAACTCAAAAATAATAACACTTGTACATAAACTACAAATAACAAAAAAAAAAACACTTATTCCAACAGAAATGTAATCTTAATTAACATTAACCGAATAAATATACTTAATATAATATAAATCAAACCTCAAATATCTTGGGAGAAAATAAAGCTTGCCCCCAGACATAACAAGTAGTGGTGGTGTCCAATTTGGCCACCTCCCCTATAAAGCTGCTCTTGTTCCAGCTACCCCTTTTAGACTGGAGACTGCATGCATCCCTCTAGGGTGTGGAATCCGCAACACTGGTAAGCTCAAAAAGAAAACCGTTCAGACAATCCAAAAACAACTACATAAAGTATGTAAAACAAACCAAGTGTCCTGTATGTTATTTAAAACTAAATAAATGTTTGCAACCTGAAAAGGTATATAAACCAGTCTTAAGGAAAACCAGCATGAACTAAGGAAAGTGTAAGTGTATGAGGTTACCGCTTTTAAGATGGCTGTGTGGCCATGGCTGTGGCCATCACAGATATGTTTTCATTAGTGTATAATCACCTGAATCGGTGTTTTAATTCCTTTGGAATGAGTCCATTTTCCATGGAGTGGAGTTGAACTGACATGTTTCTACAGGAGCCCAGAAGTTAGTTGCAATCCGCCACTTTACTGCTAGATGCCACCAAATCCTACACACTAGTCCTTTGTAAGACCAGTGTTTGGTTTGTCCGTTCTGGGCTACTGTAGAGACATAGCGGTTCAACATGGGGGACTCTATGAAAGGTGACTCACAACGCCTGTAGATAAAATGGCTCATTCTAAGGTAACAAAAACATAACCATTCCTATATTCAGGTGATTATACACTAATAAAAACATAGTTATGCATGTAAATGTACATTATAATCTTGGACTCAGATATCCAAAATATATCTCAGATTGGACTTGAGATATATTTTGGGTTTTGGCTGTTCAGCACAACATTGTGTTATCTTGAAATACCCTTGGTGAAAGTGTAATGCTGCCCTTAACAGAAAAAATGAGGAAGTTGAAAGAATTTGAGTTTAGTAGTCTGCAAACAAATTATGTCATACACGGGTATTTGAGGGAATGACATAATTAAAAACGTCTAATTTAAAGTAACTGGGTACCATCAGATCACAATCTGTGAACTTGTTACAGTCGCGACAAGTCAGACGTCAGTGAAGTCACACAGTTTAGTACTGCTACTTTTAAAAGACGTTCTCACTATAATAATAAGTAATATCAAATAAAAGTCCAGGTTTAGGAAAAAGTTAGTTTTAGGTTTATATAACTGTGGTTTTAATCAGCATTAATGTGCATTTAATTTTACAGAAAAATGTTCCATTAAGTAAAGAGAGCCTCCGCACATAATTTTGGGAACTGAACCTCAGCCAGGTTTATCAAGTTCAAGTACATCCAACAATCTCACCTCCTCCCTTCCTCTTCACTGATTTGACATGAAAAGCTGTTTCAGTTAGATTGCCTGCTTACACAATCATGGTGCCTTGCCCAGATTTCTGTGGCAACAAGACAAAGGTCAATATAAAAACAAAATGACTATAGAATGACTGTAACACATTTTTGCAAGAGTTTGCACCTTTAAGTATTTTCAGAATTTTCATTTCCTATTTCTTCTTCTCAAGAAGCGAAATCAATTGTTCCAAATAAGGGCTTAGCACATATTCAATTGCAGTTCAATTCAGATTATGAGACAAAACAGCTCAATATTTGTGTCACATTGATTCTGATTGATTACCCTATTTCTGATTGGCGTGATTGATGTGTTTTCTTTAAATCTGTATTACTTCCCATCACATCCAGACGTGAGGATAAGAAAGATCACAAACAACAAGACAAGATGTGTGATCTTGATTCTTACTGATTTTGATTTTGAGTTTAATTTATATTTTGTGTAGTTAACTGACACAAATAATATATAAATAATAATAATAATAATAATAATAATAATAATAATAATAATTACAAAAGCAGATCACAAGATAAATTCCTTTATCAACATTTGATCAACTAAAAAGTCATGTTCGGGCCACATTAACCTGGCAGTAGCTGAAAAGAGAAGCAAGTAAGAGAAACTAAATGAAATTGCTACTGTACTAATTATTTCCTTAGTCCTTCAAGCACATATACATTTGCACAAAAACGTTACTTTACACCAACTCAGTACTGAACAGGAAACGGTAAGTGTGTGAAATCCGATGAAGCTGTATGGAACAATGGCACATCTTATTACAGTGCATAAAAGATTTCCTTTTCATAATTTACCCTGAGTTCTTAACTTTTTTCAATCTAAAAAAACATTAACCGCATAAAATGTTCCTCTGGAAGAATTCAACGGTTGAATCACACACAC